GTCCCCTGCAGTTCCTGGGTGCTGCTTAAAGCTCCTCAGCTGGCTCCAGCACTGTGGGCCTGCTGTGGTCAGCTTCTGTCCAAGCGAGCGACGTCAGGCTTTGGTGCAGTGCAGTGCCGTCCCCCAGTGCAGTGCCAGATTGGTCCCCATCGCTCTGGCTCAGCCCCTCTGAGGCGATTGGTGGTGTGCTGTTTTGGGTGGAAGCTTTATCGAGGTGTGGAGTGAAGGAGCTGCTTCCAAAGGCTTCGTGCAGAGTCTCGGTTTCAGCCTGGTGCTTTGACCACAGTGGCTCTGGGGGCTTCTCATCCCCAGCTCGGGGCTGTGCATAAGCCACACGGGAGGCAGCTGTGTTATGCAGGGACCTGGAGAAAACTGAGCACGAAGGAGAGTCAGGGCTGGCAGCAATGCCCTCTGTGCTGCCCTGGCATGGCCCCCCCAACCCTCCTTACCTCGCACTGGTCCGAAGTCACCACCTGTCTCAGCCTTGCTAGGGGCAAAAGGGCTGATGGAGGGGAAGACAATGAGTGCGAAGGAGAGCAGCAGGACCTGGGGACACAGGGGTGGTGTTACTGTGTGTGGTGCTTGAGGAGGACCATGCTGTGCAACGTGGTTCCCAGCGAGGGGGCTGGTGGCAGAACCAGGGCTGCGTCCCTCCATTTCTCCCTGCTGCCTGCCCCATCCTGACACCATCCATCCACCTTTTTTAACACACATCCATCCCTCCTTCCAACCCTAGAGCATCCATTCTTCCACATCAGCACACCCATCCCTCCATCCACCCTTTCCAGCACTCCTCCATTGATTTCTCACTCCCTTGAAGCAAGGAGCCCTGGAGAGGAGATTTGGGGCAGAGAATGGGAACAAGGAGCAGGGGGCTCCACACACCGCAATGCAGGTTCCTGTCTGTGCTGCTTTGTTGCTCGACTGCACCACCAGGGCCTGCAGCTTCTTCAGCTGCTCCAGGAGAGACCTGGGGATAGAGAGAGTGCATGAGAATCCCAAGGTCTGGGATCCACCTCGCAGCAGAATCTCAACCACCCCTTCACCTGCCCCTTTGTGCCTTGTCTGTTATGGAGACACCTACGAGTTCTGCTTCTCTAGGTGCAGGACTTTTCTCTGCAGCTCCTGGTTTTGAGCTGTGCATGCTGACATCCTGGGGGACAGAGAGAGGGATGTGAGGTCTGAGGGGAGCCAAGCAGCGTGCCTATCACCAACCAGCCTGAGGCAGGGGTTCAGTGGCCATACCGACTCTCCAGCCCATCGATATATTCCTTCTTCTTCTTGCGACTCTCCTGAGCTGACTGCTTGTTTCTGATCTTCCTCCGGATCTTCTTCAGCACTCGCTCCTCATACTGCAGAAATGGGGGGGGGGGGGGGGTTAGGGCAGCCAGGACCCCAAGCACGGTGTCCACTTGTTCCATCTCAGGTACCGCAGGACTCACCTTGGTGAGGGGCAGCTGCGTTGGCAGGGACACCCCCTCCTTTGCCAGCAGCTTCTTCTCATCCTCTGTCAGCACGAGCTCCTGGAACTGCCCCTGGCCCTGCCTCAGCAGGGAGTTGGGCACCTGTGACTGCTGTGGGACCGTGGATAGGTGATGTCCTGGGCTGCAGGCTCACCCCATGCCTGCCCCAAAGGACCACAGGTAGGGACAGTGGTTCAAGGTTGAGAACGACATCCAGAAAGGGACGGGAACAAGACTGTGTGTAGTTCAGGAAGGGGAATAAGTAGGGGAGAGACAAGGAGGGATGAGGGTAGGAATGGGATCATGGTCCAGGAAGTGGCAGGGATAAGGAGGGAGGGAAGGGACAAAGGTCCAAGGAAAGAGAAAGGATGAGAAAAAGTACAGGGATGGAGATGAGGAATGAGGATGGCATCTAGGATGGGACAGGACTGGGCACAAAGAGGGCTGGGGAACATGGTAGTGAGGACTCACAGCATCAGAGCTGCCTGAGAGCAGCAGATCCTTGACAGTGAGGGTACAGGATGCAGGCGCAGGGACTGTTGACAGACCCCGGCCCTCCTCCAGGAAGAAGCCAGGATTCCACATATCTGGGTGAGGACCAGGTGAGGGCTGTCAGCTGTGTCGTGTCCTTGGCCCCCTGACATCCCCCAGCTTCCCCTCTGTGCCCCATACCTCTCCATCCTTCCTGCATACCCAAACCTCCCATCCCACCTAGCTCCCTTAACTTCCCACGCCACCCATCAGCTCCCCAGTGTCTCTTCAACCTCCCACTGTTCCCAGCCCTGTCCTCCACCCGGTTTGTCCCCCATGGCTCACCCAGGTCAATGGAGACCTCAGGGTGGGGGCCTCCAGTGCTCCCAGGATGTGTCAGAACCTGGTGGCAGGAGTTGGTAAAGGCATAGGGGGCCTCGCTGAGCCCTCCGTCACAGCACCCGGGGGGGCTGTCGAGTTGATCAGAGGGGGGGTCCTCAGAGACTCCACTGTCGCTGACACCTGGGGACCAGCTGGGCGAGTCTGATATCGAGTCTCCAGAGCCCAGAATGGAGCTAAGGAAGTCCTCGCCATCCTGGGCACGCTGTGGGGATACGGATGCCTGTCACCATCAGTGCTGAGCGCCTGTAGGATCTGCCTGGGCCACAGGACAGCACTGCATGGGGTTCAGGTAAAGCAGATCTCACCCCATCCTCGTGCCAGGTGCCCGGGGATGTCGTCCCCAGCTCCACACCACGGAGGATTCCATCCTGGCGGTCAAAGAGGAGGTCCAGCAGGTCGATGCTGTCGAGGCCGCCCACAGTGGAGGCCATGGCTGCAAGGAGATGAGGTCAGACCCCATCCCCATGATTGTCCTTGTGCCTCTCCCCTAAGTTTCATAGCTCTGGGGACACCCTGAAGCACTTGGTGAGAGGGAGCAAGGAGCACAGAGTGGGACCACAAGGATGCACATCTACACACGTGTCACGCGTGTGCAAACGCGTGTGTGATCACATAGATGCACGCATAGGTGGGTGGATGTGTGGCCATGCTGACATGTGTGTGCAGGGATATGACCGTGCAATCTATATGTGCACACATGCACCCACACATGTGAGACGTGGGTATGAACACGCACACGTTGCAACCTGTATTGCAGCATGTGAGCGCACCTGGCCAAGCCCTACGTGCCTGCATGCAGGAGGGAAAGCACACATATGGTCTGGACATGCACACAGGGAGTCAGGACATGGCAGTGTCCCCCCCTCTGCTCGCTTCCAGCAGCTGTAGCTCCTAAATCATCCATTTTTCCCCAGCAGCAGGGGCTTCCCATGGGCACCCAGCCATCCTACAGGAGGAGCACCCAGACCTGAGCCCTCAGCTCATTTCTCCTGTCTGGCCCTGTCTGGCATATGTGACCACTGAGAAGATTAGGTTAATCATTTAGTGTGGCAAATGGAGGAAAGGAGGCTGCTGCCACTGGTCAGCCCCAAGAAGGGCCCCCAATCCCAAAGTCTGGATTCCAAGAAACCCAACAAATCGGCCAACTGACCAGCAAAATCAAGGAAGTGACCAAAAAACAGATCAAACAGCCAAGCTGTTGGCCAACTGACAAACTGATTGACCAAAGCACCAACCCACTAACCAACTGAACACCTAACCTCCTACCCAACCCACCCAGCCCACCACCCAACCAATATCTGAGCAGCACTGACTCAAGGCTTTTTCAAGCTGGGTTTGAGGTTGGCTGTCATTAACGTGACATTTGACCAGCCAGCTTGGAAAACAGGGGAAATTACACTCTATTCTCTCCCCATGGTCCTTCCAGTGCCATCAGCAGCCCCATTGCTGACAGCAGGGCTTTGTTGAGCACTGGCAGCCAAGACGTACCTGTGTGAGATCCCAGCTCCAGTGGGAAGCCCTGAGATCCGTCCTGGCCTCTGAACTCCTTTGGTGTGCAGGACACCAAGCCTGGCCACCTCCTCCTCTGCGATGCCCTGACCCGAGTGGCAAAGTTTAAACTCCAACAGCACATAAATAGTGTCCAAGATTGCAAAATTGCCTGTGTCCTGATAGGGGCCGGCGATGGCAAAGGGAAGGCCCATGGTGCTCCGTAACTTATTAGCTAAATGTTTTTGTCCTCCTCTGCCGAGCGGGACAGGAGGGGCCTGGGCTGATGGGCGAAGTCCAGGCTCTGCAACTGCCCATGAACTTTCCCCCACTTTGGGGGTAATTTCTTTTTATTTTTTCAGATGAGCACATCAGCATTAATCACATCCTATAAATGTCGAGAACGTCTGGGGAAGATGTTGGCTTGAATTCTACCACTTGCTGCTTCTCCATAACACACGTTGATCCCAACTGATGTTCATGATGATCCTCACGCCCAGGGCTGGCCCAGCTGCCACCTCTGTGCCTCAGTTTCCCTGTGGATCAAAAAGCATGAAGGCTGGGGCTCACAGCCTGCCACATCCCTCACCCTTCGGTGATGATGTTGGATATCTCACATTCCGAATGCTGGGGGTTACGACTCTGGATGGGCATGATCAGATCCCAGCAGAGCCCACCCTTCGTGCGGTGCAGAGCCCGGCCCACCCCTCTCCCTCGTGCCCGGTGAGCCAAGGCAGCTTGTGACCACGCTGTGCCACGGGGTACAAGGCTGCAACGTCGTGCTTATCTCTTGCACAACGCCCTCTGTCCAGGAGGGACCGGCAAGAGGGAGGGCACCGCCTTCACGCCGCAATTTATGGCCCCACAGCGGAGACGGGAACTCCTTGCTCCGGGCAAAGGGCGTCCGCTCTGCCGGCCTCCGCCCTGCCATCGCCCTGGCACCACGCGACCCGCTGCCAAAGCCTCCCGAGCGCTCCGCCGCGTGAGGCACGGCGGGCACCAGCAGGGGGCGCTGCAGCCCCGCATGCCCCGCCTCGAGCCTCGAAGCCGTCCTCCGCAGCCCGCTCTCGCGAGACTCCGCGAGGCGTCCTCCACGAGGCCGTTTCCCCACGCCCCGCCCCTTTCGGTTACTCCCCCTCTTGGCTCCGCCCACTTTCGCTCCATGCCCCGCCCCGCTCGGTCCGCAGGCGCGGCGCGGCCCGGCCATGCCGGCCAAGAGGAAGCCGGTGCTGCCGGCCCTCACCATCACTCCCAGCCCAGTCGAAGGACCCGGACCCGGACTCGGTGGTTCCGCAGAGTGAGTGAGTGGCGGTGGGGTCTGACCGGTCCTTGCCGCTTCTGGAGCGTCGGTGCTGGGGTTGGCTGCGTGCCGGGCCTGGGAGCTGAACCGGGAACCGGAGAGGGACGGGAACGGGGCTTGAGGAGCGAATGGGGAGCTGGGATGGGCTGTGCCTGGATGGGGGCTGTGTGGGAACCGGGGGCTGCTGAGGGTAGCGCTGTGGGATCGAGGAGGAAGCGATGGGGCCGGGCACAGAGCGGCCTTGTTCGTAGCTTGGCTGGGATGAGGTGGGGAAGGGCTGGGGGGGGGGGCGAGGCGAGGAGCTGGGGGTGGTCAGTGGGGTGAGGAGGAGCAGAAGCCGTAGGGATCTGGGGGGCGGGGGGAAGAGGGAGGGGGGTGTTGGGGCTGCTGGGAGCCCTCGCTGATCCCCTGCCCCGGGTGGGGGGTGGGGCAGCAAATGGCAGAGGGTGGCTGGAGTCTGTCTGTCTGTGCGTGCGTAGCAGGTGTTGGGGAACACAGCATCCCCTTTGTGCTCAGCTGTGGGTCTGGGGTAGCAGGGGGCTGGTGGGCATGTGGAGAGGCATTGTGCTTCACAGAGAAGGCCAAGCGTGGCTTTCCGTGTTAGGAAAAGTTGCCCCTTAACTTGTACAGGGGTTTGGGCTGAGTATGTGCAGGTTGGGACTTCTGTTATTCCTTCTGCTTCTCCACGGTTCCCCCCAAAAAAACATTGAGGTTCTTTTCCCTGTGCCTCGCTGTCTAACCCTTATGAGCCACGTTTTGCCCCTGCCGACAGAGGACAGACTTTCTCTGGACCCTCACAGACTGATACACCCTTCATCTCCTGCAGGGCTAATCTGGTGGACCTTCAGAAGAAGCTCGAGGAGCTGGAGCTGGATGAGCAGCAAAAGAAGCGCTTGGAAGCTTTCCTCACTCAGAAAGCCAAAGTGGGAGAGCTGAAGGATGACGACTTTGAGCGGATCTCTGAGCTGGGGGCTGGCAATGGTGGTGTGGTCACCAAAGTGCAACACAAACCCTCAGGGCTCATTATGGCACGGAAGGTAAGGAGGCAGGAGATGCCTTGCTGGGGAGCAGGGTCCAAGCAGGCTGTCTGCACTGCTCCACCTGCATGCAAAGCACCTGTCTGAGTTGGTACCAATGCACGAAGCTGGGCTCTGCACAGAGTCTCTTCCTGTTAACTTCTGTAAGCTTTCTTGCTGCTCTGCCTGGCTGTGGGTCATCCCCTGAGAAGGGGAAGTCTGCATTAAACAGGTCACAGGGTTTTGCAACGCCTGGTGTGAGAACATGAGTTTGTTCTTTTGCCAGGAAATGGGTTTTCTGAGGGTGGTGGCTGACAAGGGCTCAGTGTGGCAGGTGGAAAGATGCATAGCTGGCCCTGCACACACCAGGGTTTGGCATGCATGCATCCCTTGCCATCCACTTGATAGTTCCAAGCAGTCTTGTGAACCTGTCTTGACAGCTGTTCCTCTCTGAGATTGGCTTATGGGAGATGTCTTTTATTGTCTTGTAATAGAGAAATAGGAGGTGCTTTGTCTGCCTATTAGAAAAGGCAGTGCTCAGTGAGAGCAGCACAATTGCTAACATATAGGACAGCTTCCTTGGAAGGCTCTATTCTCACTTGCTGTGGGGATGACTTAGTGGGTATCATGAACTAATAGGTTTTCCAGGTGGCTTTGCTTGGAGTGGAGCTCTGTGAGCCTTCCACTGTGACATTATTTTGGGATTATTATTTCCCAATTATTTTTAATTTAATTATAAAATAATTTCCATTATTTTAGATGTAATTAGATGGTTTTGAGATTGTTGGGAGCGCTGTGTTTAGAAACTGGAGCCAAGGCAAGCTGCAGCATTGGGCAGCACTGCTGTGTTCCTTGCTGAAACCAGGACCTGGGTGTCCTAGAGCTTACAGTAACAGCAGCTGCTTTCTAACCTGCAAGACTTTCCTTCCCACAGTGTGTTAGCTGACTGTGTGCAGCCCAAGGAATAAGGCATTTACTCTTCCACGTGCAGAAGCATGTGAATGTTGTTTTTCTCACTCCATGTAGTTTCCTTGATAGGAGAGCACCTGTTCTTACAACACCTACGAAGCTCGTGAAAATGTTCACGTTGCCAAGTCAGATCTGCTTCTGCCTTGCCTTTCCATTCTGTGTCCTCTGTGATTTCAGTGTGTTACACAGGCTGGCAGTTGCTGCACTTGCTAGCAGGCTGCACAGCACTCCATTTGACCCTTTATCCTTAATTTTGGAAACATTTTCCTTTCTTTCCAATGCTCACGCTTGCTTGTTCACGTGGTTCCTGTAAGGTTGTTTTTTGATGTCTTTAGGCACTATACTTTTTTTTTAAATATATATATATAATTTTTCTTGTTAGCTGATTCATCTAGAAATCAAACCAGCCATCAGGAATCAGATTATCCGAGAGCTGCAGGTGCTGCATGAGTGTAATTCCCCATATATTGTGGGTTTCTATGGAGCTTTCTACAGCGATGGAGAGATTTCCATCTGCATGGAGCACATGGTGAGTCCACGTCCCCCCCCTCCTCCTTCTCCAAACTGCTGCTCCCAGCACTGTGTTCCCAACTGGATCTTTATGAGAATGACATCCAGATGAAGTGGGTTAGTGTGCTGGCATTCATTGCTGGCAGTGCAGTGGCTCCTTGCTCTGACTGCTTGGTGTTCAGCAAGGCTGCTAAGCTGGGGTTAGAATCTCCATGCTTCTACTTAGGCATCTAAATGACAGGCATCAAGGTTTTTTTTGGGGGGGGAAGCAGAAGTTTAGGGGGTGGCCAAACAGAAATATTGTAAACCCATCATTCTACAGAGCTTGCTGTCAAATGCAATGTGCATCTTTTCTTGTCCCTGTCAGAAGTGTTGTCATTCCTCCACAGTGATGCTGGCAGCCTCATCTTTGTGTTCAGCGCTGAGGGAAAAGAAGCTTAAAAACTAACAGCAAGAAACAGAGCTGATAGGATTAAAGTAGTTCTCAGTGAGAAGCTTGAGCTCTGATGACCAGAGATCTTTTTCTGCTGAAGGAGCTTGCTTGATATCGATGTACTGCAGTCTACTGAGCTGGGATGCTGTGTATCACTCTTATAGTCCAATATGGATGCGTTTGTCTGTATGGCCAACTGCTCTGCTGCTGTTGGTGTGCTGATAACCTCCGTGGTTTTCTCACTTTCAGGACGGTGGCTCCCTGGATCAAGTGTTGAAAGAAGCCAAAAGAATTCCTGAAGAAATACTGGGGAAAGTCAGTATAGCGGTGAGTTGCCGCGGGTGAGAAAATGCTTGTGCAACCCTTTCTTCATTTGTCCATATGTGCTTTCCCATCCTGAAGTTGGGCAGGAGGTGCTGGTATGTGAGATGGGAGCAGGGAAGCAGGTTCCCAAGCACTTTCCATCATTCCCAGCCCTGGTGTTGCATTATTTGGTGGTTGCCAGACAGGGAGAGAAACTTCCTTGGGCAAGAAACCCAAGACTTGTGATTGTCACAGCAGGGGTCTGCTGTTTTGCTCTGACTGAATCCATACAGTGGCCATTGCTCACTGCCATCCACAGCAATCAGTTGCAAAACTTGAAGTGCTTAGTCACCACAGAGAGGCTTTCCTCACAGAGCTGCGATGTGGCAGCACTGAAGTTTATGCAATGCATCTTACTGAAGGCAAAACGCTTCGCTTCTGAGTTCTTATCCTGTCTTTGGCTTCCTTCTAGGTTCTGAGAGGTTTGGCCTATCTGAGAGAGAAGCACCAAATCATGCACAGAGGTGAGAGAGGAGGAACCTAACAATAACTGCCTGTGCTGGAGGAGCCCTGTTTAACCCAGAGCCATGTTTACACTCTTCTCTCTCACTGTTGTCAGATGTGAAGCCTTCCAACATCCTGGTTAACTCTCGAGGAGAGATTAAGCTGTGTGATTTTGGGGTCAGTGGTCAGCTCATTGACTCCATGGCAAACTCTTTTGTGGGAACTCGGTCCTACATGTCTGTAAGTTCAACTTTTTAGTGGATTTTTACAATTTGGGTTCAGCTTGGATGCAGGTGGGGTTAACCATTCGTATAGAATCAGTGTCCTGTCCAAGCTGTTCACAGTTTTCCTCTGCATTCCTGCCCTCTCTGGGACTGTGGTCTCTTTGGATGCTGTCTGATCACATGTGCTTCTCCATGCTGAAGGTTGGACTGGGGAGCACGTAGTGTTCCATGCAATAGGAACAAGCACAAGATGTGCAAAGGAAGATGTCCACATCCTATGGATGCTTTCATTCTGTTTCAGCTACTGTTTGTGGGTTCAGAAACTTCTTTCTGTATGCAAAGCCTGTCCAAGAAACTGTGGAGAGGGCATCCGTGCTGACACCCTCCCTCCTTCAACCATGCTTCAACCATGTTGGCAGGGGTGTTAGCCAGTCTAATGCAGGTGGGGTTGGTGGAGACTGATGGAAAACAGAGCCAGACTGGAGGAAAGCTGCAAAAAGAGCAGATGATGCCTCAAAACGAAAGTCATAATCTGTGGGCCCTGGGCTGCAGATGTGCTCAACCACAGATTGTGACACATTTGGGCTAATGGTTTCTGTCCAGCCTGGTGTAGTGGAAGTGACACAGTGCAGCAACAGGCAGCATGCAGACTCCTCTGCCCTGTGTCTTGATAACAGGCTGCTGTAACCATGAAATTTCCTCCAGGCTGGTTCTGGTCCTCTGTCTGGATAGCAAAGAAGATGCATGTCTGCTGTCCACACCGTGTGGCTGCAGCTGTAAGCAGGCAGTAAGCAAAGCTGCTGGTACTTCTGTACTTAGGTCTGAGCTCCTCTTGTATTTTTGGGAATGGTTATTTAAGTAGAGTTATAGTTAGATGGTGTATTTAAGGGTGGTGTTCCTTCTGCACTCAGTTGGGTCTGCACAGCTCACACAAAGCTACCAGCATAGATGGCTTGCATGGCTTTATTATTTTTTTAGCCTTTTCATCACAGTAGCATTTTCTGCTCCTCAAATTGCTCTCAGATATTAATAGGAATAAACAGAAGAATTAAAAAAAAAACTTTGACAACAAAATTAAGATCTCAGCTCAGTGAGAAATACTTTACACTCAGAAGTCCAGAGCATGAGCAACTGCAAAGGCTGCTCAGCTGTATCTGTTGGTTAGATGTGTGCAAGTGCTTTGTGTTTGCTGTGACTTGGGAGTTCCCCCACCCCCCAGAAATGCTTTCTCTGCAGACATCAGTGCTTCTGGCAGGCATCAGGAGCGCTGGCTGCTTGGAGGATGCCTGCTCATGGAGAGGATGCTTCAGGTTTCTTACCTCTGTGTTTTTTTTTTCCTTCCAGCCTGAGCGATTGCAGGGCACTCATTACTCAGTCCAGTCCGACATCTGGAGCATGGGTCTGTCACTGGTGGAGCTTTCTATTGGAAGGTACCCAATACCCCCACCAGACTCCAAGGAACTGGAAGCAATATTTGGCCGTCCTGTGGTGGATGGGGCAGAGGGAGAATCTCACAGCGTCTCGCCGCGGGCCAGACCCCCAGGACGCCCCATCAGTGGTAGGGGCTGCCATGCTGCATTGGGGGGGGCTGCCATGCTGCAT